GGACCAGCGGATCAGCGGATCAGCGGATCAGACAACCCAGCGGCCATAAGTCTTTCCTGACGTACTCCGTACATACCCAGAGAAATCAGACGCAGCATGCGACGTTTATAGTTGGGTCTCTCGATGATCCATTTGGTGCGGCAAAACGGCAGGTTGCGGCCATTTTTGTGCCGTTGGCCCTCATCGTGGGGATCTTCGCTCAGAGCTGGGGCTTTCACGCGATCGAAGTGGTCTTCATGTGCCCCCACTGTCGACCCGTCCGTTTTGGGTGCAGTTTGCAGGCGGTCGTTTTGTGGGGGGAGGTGCAGCTGGAGGAGTCAGTAGGAGGGTGCTTTTTGTTGCATTTATGTGTTGGTTCCAGATGGTTCCAGAAAAGATCGGATTTTGACAGGTTGTGGAATTTGATGAGAAATTCATGGCACCCCCCAAAAAGTGCGGGATACGTCTTTTTCACAGGGTTCCCAATGACGTCCTGGTACTTTATATATAATCTCATCCAGGTGCCCTTTTCAAAAGGTGTTCATGTGATTGAGATTAATTAATCTTTGTTTCATGGAGATGACGATGATGATGACCCTTATCTTCCTGGCAGCCGTGTCCCTGTTCTTCTTTGAATGGACCGTCATGTGCCGGACCCACAAAGAAGTTGGGATTGCGCCTAGTGAACTGTCCGGCTTCTATTCCTGGTCATCAAAAGATTCCATTATATATTTTGACTTGTCTCAAATCCAAAGGACACACAAAAGACGGGGGTACACCGAAAGGTCCACACCCACTAGGTCCAAAGTGGCATCCGGCATACGTATGCAGTCACTTCAAGACATATACGATCCCTCATCCTGGCGTATCCTGGTTTCGCTTCTCTCCATCGGTCTCCAGCAGGGGGCTCGCTGCGGGAAAGATGTAGTATGTAGTGGCTGCCAGGGCGGAATTCCAACACTTTCCTACAGATCCATCTCTATACGTGTCATGAAAAATGCATCCCTGTCCCTTTCCAATGCTTTTCGCCACAAATCCTTGTCTTCCTCTCTTGAACAGACACCACCATGCCTCACCTCCCATGCCCGTGGTCCTTCACTTCGCTTGAAAGGTGTTCTCACTTCACCTTGGTGGTCGCCTTCTTCTTCTCACTCCTGGGCATCAAGGGCACCTTAGCCCTCCCAGGTCGAGTCCAACGGGTTGCCGCCGGTGTGGTGTGACTAAGAGAGAAAAGCGAAGGCATGTACAGAAATAAGGGTTCAGGAATGGTGATGGTTCTGATGCTTGACTGCACGCCCTTGGAGTTAGGTGGATTTTGTGCTAGAAACCCTGATTCGGAGTCGCATAGGTGGGCGATGCATGCTGCAGTATGTCTTAGCCAGACAAGGCACCTGCAGAATCTGCCAAACCACGCGGCTTGGATCAACTCCAGATGTCAGAGGTGTTTCTGCGCAGCTTCTGATTCTGACCTTGTTCAGACTCGATTCCTGGTATGACAACACTGTGTTGTGCTACGACGTTGGTCGATGTTTAAATATTTGCACGCATTTTAGTATGTTTATTTTTTCAGAATGGAAGAGTGGCCTGGTGTATAATGTATAGTTGGCCCTACCATGCCTGTCTTAGATGTTTTCTACGGTTACCAAGAGTCCCCTGAGTAATATACAGACTTCTCAGTTGCTGCCAAAACCTTTAGGGGAGTTGTTTGTTTGGGTATGGAATTTGTTCTCGTCTGAATGTACATACATCTGTATATCCATAGCAATGTGACAATGTGTATACTTATACGTACTTATGCGCTGCAATTGTCTCACAGGAAAGAGAATCGTGTTCATGCCTTTTTCAAGCAACTGTTTTTTTTTCTTGAGGGGTTTGATATGGGGGAACATCAGTGCACATCGTTGTCCGTGGGCATGCTTCAATCCCTGAATCAATCAGCTTTCTCCTGGGCAAAGAAACTGGTCACAGAGGCTTCAAATAAGATGGATCATGGGAAAACATAATCCCAGTCAGGTGTTTTTAAACAAACAACCTCCCGGTCACTTAGTGCATGCCAGCTTGCTTTGTTCCTGACATTTTTTTTGTTTTATTATTCTATTTGTTGCACGGTGTGGAGGTATCAAACCTGAATTACGGTTAGTCACGTCTCCATCATCTCCCAGGGCCTCCCGGAAGCGACGAATCTCATTCGTCGAACTGTTCCTCAAGTCGAAAACAGAAACAACATGGATCTCTCGGTACCCATGTCCGACGCTCCATGGGACTGGAATATATGCCGTGCCTTACCCCAAATCAACCACCCCTGGCCTGGCAAATATGGCACTCCCATGGAGCGTTTGGGTTAGACACCTGGCACCGTGAACGGATGGACGTGAGCGCGCCTGGACGTTATTGGGTCGGATGGACCATCCGCATGAATCAAGTACATGGTTTGGTGGATGACGCGAAGGCCATACCCCTCCAAAAACAGATGTTGTTCATTCCAATCACTACCAAGTCGACTCGAATTTGATAAATTACAGGGAAGAGTTCGCTTGCCTCTTGCCTGCCAGCGTTCTGTTCTAGAAAATCAGGCGGCCGATTGTTGTTCGATTTCTTTCTGTGGGCTCAAGAGCCCGATGTGGATGTGGGCTTCCCGATGTGGTGTTGGGATATATAGTGTAGTAGTATGACCTCCAGCACCAGCATCTTGGGATTCTCCTTGGTCGATTATATGAGAGTTCACCTCCCATCCTAAATGTTTTACAACATATATATGAGACTTCTATCCTATATGAGAGTTCTATCCTCCCCATCCTATATGAGAGTTCCATCACCGCATTCTTCAGTCTTTGTTGCCCACCTGTGTTCCACCGCAGCACGCTCCGGATCCGTTCCGGATCCGTTCCGGATCCGTTCCGGATCGAATTCAGGTCCGAGGAGGTCTTTGATTCCGATGCGTCCTCCGAGTGAGGTCGTCTTGGCCGTCGCGGCGGTCGGATCCATGTAGACCCAAATCCATTCGACCATCTATTAGTGTAACCAAAACATGAGTTCAATGATGGGGAGGAACACGATACAGTGCATTTGATTCCTATAGCTGTTGTTGTTGTTGTGTTCTTTTGGGCGAGCTAATTGCGTTATGTGACGTTGATTTATAATATGATTCAAGCGTTCTTTGACAAGAGCCATTTGCTCTCTAATCTATTTTGATTTGAATCGATGTCGCGGGGGGGGGTGTTCCGGGGAAAACTTAACAACACCAATCTCGCCACATGGATCTCCTCCCGAAAGCAGTGGCTGAAAGCAGCCACGAGGCCCTCTTGTACAGATACAGATACAGGTGTTCAGCTACTGCTGTATAGATGACAGCCGACCGACTCCCCTCGAAGCATCTACGTATTGAAGATGTTGTTTTGTACTTCCTTTTTCTCCAGAGTCATGGCAAATACAGTTAACAATGACATGCATAGGTGAACTTTGCAACAGATTGGCGGTTTATTGCATAAATAGGGGGAAGATCTACGGTTACCGGTAGAGTGGTAGTCGTGACATGGAAATGAAGAGAGTGAGCGTAAACGCTGCGTCGCTGCCCCTGAAAGCCTGGGGCCGCCGCGCACGGCGCACGAGGCTAAAGATGCGTTGTCTTGGGGATCGTGTACTCGTACCAATCGCTGTTAGATGTTCGACAGATGGCCTTTGTTTTGTTTTTGCAGAATGTGGTGCAAACACCAGACTCATGCGGAATCGAGACCGACTCTTGCGTTTTGCATCTTGTTCAAGTGATCTCATGTTGTCTGTGGTTTGCGCATGGATTTCTATGCATGTATAGACTCTGCAAAGGCAGACTGCAGACTTTTCAGATGGCCACTGGCCATAACCGTATAACCAAACCCATTGATGATGGTATACATTCAAATGGTTGGATAATTTGCTTCTACAAAGAAACACATATATATCACGGTAAGGAATATTGAACTGAATGGGAGCCTAATACATTTGTTAGATAATGTGGCCTCAATCCAACCCCATGGGCCACATATATGGCTAAGAACACTACAATACTGTTTGTTCAATATTGCAATCAATGACCCGCAGGAGACCGACAGAAGCAGAAGCTTTAGACCACCCGACAGCGCAACAATCAGATCATTTGCACAAGCAAAGAGCAATCAAACAACACAAACTTCTATGTGTCGTTCAGTGTTCTTCACTGTTAACAGTCATGATAGTTGTTCTTCACTGCATGAGAGGTCTCCAACATGTAGGAGTCATGACCCTTTTGCCTGTTGCGCATACTTCTTATCGTCCATGAAAAAAACGAGCTTCCTCCGCCTTGAACGGTGTTGGGGGATGGTCGTGGGACCAAGACAGTCTTGGGTTAGTCGGTGAGTTGAGGTCGTCGACCATGACTCGTGTATGTCATACGGCTGATCCGTCAATCCATGTCCTCAGCGACGCGACAGATGAGACGTGCGACGGACCCGCTGGCCCTGGACGGTCAAAAGTTCAGCGATCCTTGGCGCGGGTCAAAAGTGCCAGAGCACACAGCGACAATGATCCTAACATTCCCAAAAAGGTGCAGCTAGGTCCATGCATCAGGCACAGTTGTTTCATGCTCTTTCACTTTGTTCCCATTGTTCACATGCATGTTCAGGATTTCAGGCGTGTAAATAAGACCCTGTTTCCTTTGCCCATGCAGAAGACAATCACACAACAACTTTAAGAACTTCAACTTGCCTCACCGAGCTCCGAGCTGCTCGAGCTCCTGCCGAAGGGCGTGACGCCATGGCGGGTGACGCCATGGCGGCGCGGGAGGGCGTGCGGAAGAGCACCGTGGAAGCCATCCACATGCATCAGTCAGTGGATCCCTCGCGCTGCTTGGGATGCAGTGGACCGGGCTCATGTGTTGTTCCGTCCGCGGAGGTCTTTGGAGAGGAATGTGTGTGTGTGTGTGATGTTTTGTTCCCTTGCACCAAACGCACCACTCTTGAAGATAACGGATTTGATGTTCGATTGGGAGGATGAATTTGCATGGATTGGGATGGATTGGAAAGATGACGCCCATCAGGCGTTTAGCTCCTTTGCTTTGGTCAACGCCCAACGTCCGTGTGGTTTGCAGGAACTGGTACACATCTCGCATGCGGCGGGGAGGCAATGCAAGCACCTTTTTTCTCTTTGCCAGTTGCTTGTTCTGCTCGATTAAATGTGAGGTAATAATATCTAACGAACTATCCAACTATTGTAACCAATTCGGCCTACATTCAACCTTTGAATCCTGTATTTTTTTGTCATGATCAGGGTGTGACCTGAGCTTTTGAGTCGGAAGGGTCTTTGGGGAGTCCGGAAGATGTTGAAGCTCTCAACACATGCGATTTGCTAAAGCTGTCAAAGCTTGGGTTCTTCGGTTGTGCACTCAAGGTGGATAAAATTGAACGGATGGCACACTGGTCATTATATATGATTGTCGTCGCATGATCACATGTCCACAACATTGAACTGTGGGTTATTAGTTGCATTCAAATTCAAATGTGTCATGTTTGCCGCTTTAAGCCACTCCATTGCCATCCATCCATGGATTTTTTCGTCCTCACCGTGCGATGCATGAGACTGTGAGGATGGTGCGTGAGCCGTGCGGATCTCCAGGCTTTGCAACGGCAGGTGGCCAACGCGATCCAGGTGCCGGTCGGAGATCGCCGAGTGGATGGCCGCTGGCCGATCGGGAAGTTTCGTCTCAATGGACTCGGGGAGAGCGAGAACGAATCACAGCCTGGATTCCCAAACCCCAGGGCACTGCATCAATTTACCGCAAGTTGGATCTTGAAAAGGGGTATATATTGAGGCACATGTTTGCTGAAAATGCTTCATGTGCCGGTGTTGGAATCGTTGGAACTCTCCACTTCTGTCCGTCGGCACGAAAGGCGACTCCTGGAGGTGAAGGTGTCCATTTCAATGGACACGTGGCTGTGTGTCAAGAACATGGGGTACTACTGTGGACCATGGTGGACCACAGAAAATTAACAGAACAGACTACCATGGTCAAGCTACAAGGGTTGTTTTTTTTTTCAGGTTTTGACCCAAAGCCACATCACTTGGAGCTTTGGGCTCTAGAATTGGTTCGGTCTTTAGCTAACCACTCCTTCTTTGGGCAAACCGAGCGGGAAAAATCGTAACCATCCACCTGGTGAATCCACGTACACAGTGAATCGTAACCAACTGGCCAATCGACTCTTCAGGTGAAGGAGTGTCCAGACGGCGACATTGCCGAGTTCCATTGACTCGTCGGCTTTACACAACCGAAGGGATCCGTTTTCGTACCTTCTCAGGTGATTGGAGACACTCCTATGTAGGTGCCAGGAGGGTCCAGTCGTACCGAACCTGAGGTTCGGTACTGGATCCCTAGAGCCCTATAGGGACTGTGAGCGTGAAGTTCAGCCAACATGGGACAGTCACTCTGACCAGGTGATACGGGGTCAGGTTGGGACCAACCCATCTCGACAGGACGTGAATGACCCAAGATGGTGGACCCAAGGTCCTCTCTCGCCGTTCACCGGTCCATTTGGGCGTTCTTGGCGTCCGCAGGAGGGCTGGCTGCCTGGCAAGGACGGGGGAGCTGACTCTTGTGACAGTCCAAGGGCCATAGCTTCCATAACAAGACTTTCGCCATTTTGGGGCTGACCAGCTGGTTTTGATGGTAGTTTTGAGGTATAGCTACACTATCCAGGGAACGATGACATGAACATGTCCTTCAAAGCATTGGCAGAAACAGGACCTCAGAGTGTGTTTTCGTAAAACAGCTTATGTGGGTCGTCAAGTGACATGCTTGCCATACCTGCCATGGTCGTCCAGGAGTCCAGCAGTGACGAAAGCAGTCCAGACAGTCTGGAGGAGGAGGCGGAAGAGGAGGAGTTTGGCCCAAGCATCTAGCATGAAGTATTGGCATGTATTTGCAGCATTTGTAAGTAGAACAGATGCAACAAATCACGGTCAACACACTACTCAGCGAAAGTGGTACTCAAAAGATCTCAAAAGCATCTAATATCATCTAATTATTTTTACTATCATGTGTGACTGTGGGGTCCATGCCAAGCATGATTTGACTTGACGCACGACGCTTTGGCCGCTCTGGGACATCCCAGACGTAAGAGAGCTTCTGTGTATAATGTGTACTATTGCATATTGAAGGCTGAGTAAATTAGCCCGGAATCCTGGCATGTTGACCTTGTCGTCCATCGTCCGCGATCGTCGGCAAGCTGTTGAAAGATGTGTTCAGCGTAGCTTAACCCATTCCATACATTATGTCTAATTAATTGGTATGTCTTTGCTTTTGGCCGTCTTTCGAGCTGTTTTCGTTGCCTGCTGGGTACGGGTTTGCAGTGTAATACGTTGAATGAAGGCAGTTCTGCAGCTGGTTGTGCCATTTCCCCTGTTTGAATCCGATCTTTAGGATCTGTTTGTGTCAGTGGCAGGAAATGATTCCACCCGTATAGGTTGACAACCTCGCTACTCAATGTTCTTCTCCCTCAGGATGTCGATTTGCCATGTGTTCTGCATGTTTCGTCATCGGGAACTCAGTCACTTTGATCCACCAGCACATCTCCTGAGGCATTTACACCGTGAACGAGCACTACATCAAGCCTGTGACCTTGCGAGCTGGGAAGATGAGCTGGGCGCTGATGATGCATCCGGAGGGCTTAAACTGCGACGTTTTCGTCAGTCATGCTTGGCAGGAAGGCCTCCTGGCTTACGCGCGCGTATGCCGCGCGGCGCACGCGCCAGTACGCGGTGTTGTTAAGGGCCTACAGTAGTCTGCCTGGTGAGGTATCGCTTTGGAATTGATGGACTCCTGACAACTCCCACGGCACGAGGTAAATAGTACATCATGGAACATAGCAAACATGAGTGACATTCTTCACACACATCACTTGGAAAGACGGAGATTCTTCTCCTATGCCAGGTATTTTTGAGTTTCTCTACAAAGTCTTTTGGTCTTGGCCTCCACGAGCACGTCATGCATGGTGCTGTATGCTGGCAAACCCTCAGCACTTGAACATTGGGTCTATGCTGCTATCGCCCAAGACTTCGCCATTTGCTCTTGCTTTGCAGGCTTCCCGATATGTTTTGGTTGTGCCAAACAGACATCGAAGCGTCTACACTCGGCTTTGGTGCGGCTATGAGGCGTATGTCGCAGCAGAAAAATCGAAGACCATTCGCATCGCCTGTCAACCTCATTTGCACCGAGTACGTTGGAGCTTGGCTTTGACATTGGTGCCTTTGTTCTTGGGCATTTTCGTTGGTCTCTTTGGACTCTGGAAGGAGTTGGACATGAGATTTGGCGCGGTTGTGATGTCATTGGCATCGCTTGCCAGTGCCAATATGAAACAAAACCGATGCTGGATGGTGTCCAACTACATTGGTCTTTTTGCTTCAGCTTGTATCGCCACCATTTGGATTCCGCTCCACAAGAATGATGTCTTGGAGCACTTCTTTGAAGTCAAAGCTCAGTTGGCCACGATGTACGAGGCGGCACTGTGGTTCTCCGCCATTTTGTTCTTCTTCTTTGCCGAGTTGGACCGGATCAGAAGCAGAAACATCACCAGTGAAGGTCAACAGCTGCGCAAAGACTATCAGGGATCCATCCGCTATGCATCTTGCTCGGAGCCCTCGGACATGCGAAACATTTGGGAGGACTCGTGCGGACCTCGGTACAAGACGAAGGAAGTCAGTTAGAATTCAAACAAGATGGCACCACCCAGGGTTCCTGGATGGTGTACTGGGTGGTTTTGTTTGACCCCCCATGACATCCTCTGATCATTGTGCTGTCCATCCCAAAAATCATTTGGGTGGTGTTTGGTTTGCTGTATATCATGTGTTTGTTGTGTTTGTTAGTTTGTGGACTTTGCCCCGTCATGGAATCTTTGCTATACGGACTTGAATGTCTTCGAAATCTGCAATTCGAGCAGACCGTTTAGATCACATGCTATCACCTGTATCTGGGGGAATACCTGGCTGATTATGCGCGGCGCTTCAAACACCTTCCCAACTCGTGAGAGGTCTCCTCCTTTCGGCTCATTCTTTTGCTGGGTGCACGGTGCTCCGTTCGCGCAGGAGATCGGCTCTAATGTAGCTGACGTGGATCGTGCCACTTGGAATCGATCCGAATCCACCCAAGGTTGCACGAGTTGAGGTGTATGGCCAGTAGGAACCCGAAGGGGTGGTGATGTTGGAGTTGTTAATGTGCCACTAGCCCAGTGCCATTCACATGTTGGAGTTGTCGTTCCATTCATCTTTAAGGTTTCTGGGTGCTTGTTGTTCTTTGTGAATAGATCACTTTGAACAGGGATGAAGCAAACGAGGCAAGTTCGTCACAAAAAAAATGCTGCAGGAGTTGGTCATGTCTTGAATTCTGCAAGCTGCAAGGGTGCAGCGTAGGTCCCACACTATGTGGACACCATGTCTACATGCCCAGAATGGCAGCAGTTTGTTGGTGTCCAACCTGTTGTTCAACACTTGACACTAAGACTGCATTTGTAGGACTAGATCACTACCCTCCAAACAAGACTACATCGCTGGATCGCTGTAGCAGGAAGCGCGGCGTGAAGCAGTCCGACGCATCGATGCTGAGGCCATCAGCGTGCTGATCTCTGCCGGCACCAGTTCTCCAGCCTTGCGCTCCTGCGCCCAGAGGGGCATCCAGATTGCGGGTGCGGCGCATGCGGAGCTGGCCGTTTGCGTGGTCTTCCTAGGGCCCATGCAGCTGGACGGAGGATGGGGGTGTTTTAGGATGTTTTAGGATGCTTTTGGTGCTTGATGTGCTTGAGGGTTTAGGCGGGTTTGGGTGGAGTTTTGAGAAGTTTTAGCTGGAAAAGTTTTCGGTAATAAATGAGCGAGGTGAGGTGTCGCTGGCAGGGAAAGGGTGGGCGCACTGTAGTAAGAAGAGTGCTGAGGCATATTGGCTGTAGCATGCATGTTTCTCACCTTCAGTCTGTAGACTTGAGACAGAAGTGACCAAGTGGTGAATCAAATACCATGTTTAACCCAGAGAGCACTTCGATCCGACCCTTCACTTGATCCTTATGTAGGACCCATCCGATCAGATCTTCTTCGCTAGACCGAACCCCACCGACCCCACGAAGCGGGAAAGACGGCGGCCCGCGTTCAAAGCGGCCGGGCACACGTGAGCAACGAGGCTGGTGGTGGCCTTCAGTCAAGTGATCATCATTTCCTGGCACAGGCTCGGAGAGGTGGAGCGGTACTGTGAAAAAAGCCGTGAAAAGCGTGAGGTGTCCCCAGAATGAAGCTGCCAATCACCCAGGACTTGGAAGCCAAAAGAACTCCAGTGGTTCATTTTTGTTCTCAGTTGTTTTTCCATGACAGCCAAGGTCTTGGACCAATTCAGCTGGGAGTTGGTTCCCAAGTGCACATGCTTAAGACAGGGATCTTGAGTCTAAAGAACACATTATTTCTGAGGCTAGATGGTTCCTGGGATGATCTGAGATGTATGGGGTGGAGAGCACACACTCTTTCTATTTCTTGATACTTCGTCCTTGGCCTTCCTTCTGGGACGTTTTGGATGTGGCACAGGAGTATTGGTCACAACTTTCAATCTGGCTTCGATCTGACCATAGCTGTATTTGTGGGGAAAACTAAGCAAGTTGCCCAGAATTCTGCCTAAGACCGATTTCAAGCTAAATGACTTCTGTACAAGAGAGAGGCTGTATCGGTTGGTCTTAACAGTGTCACACTTGGGTTGTTCACAAGTGAAGAATGGTGTTCTTCATGTACACTCCCTGGAACTAACATGGAAGTGGATGGCCTGACCCCTTGGAAGACCATTTTCCTCTACAAACAGGTGGTTGTCCACTTCCATGTTATCCATTTGTTTTGTTGGTCATGTGCCAACTGGATCAGGTCAACTTACAAGCCCTGCCTGGTCATCGAGGCCATAGGAGCTCCTTGGGCCGCAGGATGCCGTAGGCAGCACCAGATGAGGATATATTTATATATTGTTCTACAATATAAGTATTAGGTGAGTAGTGCTTTGAGATTGTTTGGGACAAGCTTTTTTTTGTTGGGACCGCTGCTTATGCTTGGCTCCATGAAAAGGTGTGATGTCACATGTTCAGACTCCCTAAGGTTGGCCTCTTGGCCTCAATGATGTCCTAGTCTTACACATCAGAGATTAATACTATAGATGTATTCTTCCCACAAGAGAACTGCTAGTTTCTTTAGAACTTTAGAAGTCTTTTCCTTTCTTTGCCGGTTCCCAAGATAGATTGCACTTACAGAGCTTTGCCTATGTATGGAGTCCCGATGAGAGCTGAACGGCATGAACCACTCCATTCACGCAAAGCCTCCCTTGAGCAAGGGTGCAAAAAACACACAGCAACACGCGCTTTTGTTCCAAAGCAAACTCTGCAATATTTGCTGCTTCTTTCCTCAGTAAATCAATTATATATATATATTATAGCATCTCATCAATAACCCCTGGTGAATCAAACTGTCCCTCTCAATCTCCGTGTCGGTTCAACCAGGTTTACCCTTTGTGTGGATCACGGGTGTCCCAAAGTTGGCCTCATCAATACGGATCCGAAACAAAGCACATGCAGCACATTCTGGTCCAATCATCCCTCGTATCACCACAAAGTAGGTTTTAGGGCAGAGGGATGGCTATTGGAAATGGGGCACCTCCACTACCCCCTGGTAAATGGAAAGCGTGAACTAATATAACCCTTCATAAATAGAACACAAAACGAAAACCCTGAAGGCCCCACGTTGTGATTTGGTTGACTCAGATCCATATGACCATCGGAATACCGCATGGGAGGTCCAGGTGTTTATGGCTTCATCGTTGCGGGTCTTCATCCGTGAGGGTGCGCAGCCGTTGGATGCTTCGTCGGCCGTTGGATGCCTCGTTCGTGTGCTTTTTCTCGCTGAGGTGCTCGCTCGGTTTCTTTTTCTGGTCCTCTTTTATTTGAGACCTGCTGATGAGTGGCTTGGCTCGGTAGTTTTTTGATATGTTTTGCGCGACTTGACTCGGGTGTGGAGAATGGTGGATGTGCGCCGTTCGGTCCTCAAAAATCAGTGGCAATTGTTGATGCTACAGGGTCCAACTTTGAGGTATATGCTTTGATCCCGAGCTCAGAAGCCATTTTGGTCCCATGAACATGGGCCGTGAATGAGCGAAACATGTCTTCTTAGCCGGATCACTTCCACCTCCTGCCCTCGTTTCCTTCGGCCTTCGGTGCTTTTCCCCAGCCTTCCGGTTCTGGCTCCGCATTGGCGTCACCCGGTCACCCGGGGGACACCGGCCGAGCATCCGGAGTTGGTGAATGTCATATGGACCGGGGCAGTGCCAAAACAGTGAACAATTGAAACTGGCTGCTGAAACTGGGAGAGTCAAACATATATGTCAAAAGGGCGATACACTTGGGGAATTGGACTCAGCCAGGAATCCAATGGAGAATGACCAGTAGAATGACCATCCACTTTTTCGAAGTGGCTAGACTTCTATTCCGCTACGGGGGGGCTAGACTTTTGGAGAAATGCATGTGGTTTGTGGCGCTTATTTCGTTAAGCCCGCCTGTTGTTTGGGAGACGTTGGGATCCGCAACCGACCCGGCACCTTGGATCCAATCTTTTAAGGAGATGCTTCATGTTGAAAGTGCTCACCAAGTTGATCACCTGGGTCCTATTCCCCACGGCCCTCACGGTCGGCATCCTCGCTGGTCTTGAGAAGACGGAGGAGTGGGCGTGCGACTCGGGGGGTGGGTCGGAGGTGGTCGGAGACTGTCGGAGACTGCAGTAGATGCTAATTAGTGATGTGATGTCCGAAGTGGATTGGCGTTGCTGCTCAAAGGAAGAACGAAGTAAAACACGTGCGCGTGAGCGAAACGACGAGACTTGAAGTGGTGTAAAGCTTCCATTGGTCTACTGCCGAGTGAGTAGCGATAACATGTTCTAGAGAATTTCAGGGCTGGGCCTTGGGGCATTGACCTGGCGATGTAGTGAAGTTGGGGTCAAGAAAGTCAAGCCCACCCACCCACCCACCCACCCACCCACCCACACACTCTTACACACTGTCTACATATTTATACCTGGTAGCATGTTGGCAAGGGGAGAATATGGACATGGATCGGACCAAGGACCTGGATTTGCTTTCACCACAGAAAGCTTCCTCGGAGTTGAAGTGACCCGGATCTGCCTCATGTGTTGATTTTCCCATTTGTTTCCCCCCAAGACACCCGACAGCTTTAGATCCACGTAGGATCCCGTCGGACTCTCCTTGCTGATGGCCCTGGCCATTGCGGCGCGGAACGAGGGGACAGAGCTGCTGAGCCTCTTTCACGCCACCTTTATGCCACTTGGGACGGCAGGCTATGACCGCACAGGTGGAAGTGGGTGGAAGCGGAAGAGTGTTTGAATGGAAGGACCCTGGTCCACTGTGACTGTGCACCACTCGACCTGGTTCCCAGTCTCAGTGTGCCATCTCCTGTGCGTGAACCCACGTTACTTATTACTGACAGCCTTAGTATTCAGATGTGAACCCATCCCCCACATCTATCAAGCCGTTCAAGCCCAAGTTGAAGCCTTAAATACGCTTGTTGCATCTTCCCCACAGAGTACCTGGCCCAGTTTTTGGGATACTGTCCTAGCACGGGTTGCGAAGGACTGTCCACGATACGGGCTACCCGCTCGCTTTCACATGTTTACTTCTGTATCAACTTTTAACACAACCCCTCGAGACATTGACACAACCCCTCGAGACTTAAATGACCTCTGTTTACCAAGCATATCTTGCTTCAGACTGTTCTGGGAGTTTGGATCAGGCCACTTTCGCCCTTCCATTGTTCCCTGTGCCACGAGAAATCCGCGCAGAGCAAGTTGGGCGAATCTGGGCAAATTTGTTGCCAACATAGTGTCCCTTTCACTTTCGCGAAATGTCCATCTACCGTGAATACTGCCATGCAACCTTGGTTGCAGTCCCACTTCGGCGACAGTATTGCAAGTCCTGTAGCTCCCCCAGAACTGACCCTATTCGGACATGTCAGCTTCCAAATAGTGGCAGTGTCAGTCTTCGACATATCAATCTATGTCTATATATACCTTATCTATCCTTATCTCATGAATACATAAGAATCAACGGCCCATCCACCACTGCGAGATGCTTTCATAGCACCTTTGTGGTGGCGGCAATCATCGCCTGGATGGGCATCGAAGGCATGTTGGCCCTGCCAGGTACGGCGGGTGCGCCTGGGTGGAAGCGGTGGCTGGACCCAGGGAAGGGACGGTGTTGAAAGATGCAGGATGTGTAATGTGTACGAATTCCTCATATATAAAACAATGTTCAAGCATTATTTAAGATTTACAACATAGGTGTTGATTGTGGAGAGAGAATCAGATTGATTGCTTGTTTAAGTTTTTTTTAAAGTCAATCTTTAGCAAGGGAGCACGCCTGGGAGTCCAGTGCTTCTGGTATTTCTAGTAATCCTCCCCTATGAATGAACCATTTTGCATCATCATGTTGCATGTCGTAGTTGGCCACAGCTTGACGTGACTCCAGTCTGGCTTGACAGCGCAGGTGGCCCCTGCTTGCTGCAATGCTTCCTGTCACGACCAGCCGTTTGCTGCTGTGATTCTCGAGTAGTCGATGAGTAAAATGATGTGAAAAGGCTGTTGCTGTGTAGACAACCTGTCTCAGCATTTCTGCAGATCTACCGAGTGGCTAGAAATGTGGCACTCTGAATCTGATAAATGTGTTCGCAAACACTTGTATTTTAATACATATCAGCATCTTAATAGACCTCAAATGTGTTGCTTTGATTTGCTTTGCATTCAAAACCTGTGAAAACTGCATTTGCATCTCCACCTGCCAAGACTGCTCAACCCGCTCCTTCAGACGGCGAGTGTCCAGACAGACGGCCGTGTCGAATCCAACCGGCCGTCCCGTCAGAATTTCCGCTGGAGCCATACAAAGAACAAGAGAGGTTTGTCGTAGGTTTAGATTGGCCAAAGGGCATTGTCTCCACATAAGGACTATTTGCCCGAACAAGTAGCAGCAATTTCATTGCAGGAACTGGAATAACATGAATGTCGCTTGGTATCAGAAAGCTCCCCTGATGGCCAATGCTTCACCGAACATGTCAGACTTCAGACCTCCGGTGAAAATGAAACAGATCCACCGTGATATCCTTACAACTCTGGAGTCCGCAAGTTCAAGACTGGATCCTTGTTGTGGCTTGATCCGTGAGTTTTGCAGCCATGGCCGCCACGACCAAAAGTGGCCACACCAGCAAAAGTGCTCAGACCTCCAAAAGCGCTGCCACCGCCCGGTCCGCCCGTTCCGGTGCTGGACCCGCTGGACCCGGTGCCCGCTACATGGTGCGGTCGCGGGCGCGGACCAGCACCATCGACGCCATGCAAATGCACGAGGCGGTGACGCCAGATCGGTGGTGCGTCACCAAGATGGATCTCAGGCACTTGCGATTGGAGGCGGATGGGGCCCGGCCGTGGCGGGACCCCGAACATCACCGGATCAAGACCATGGACCGGGGTGTTTTTTTGGGGTTCGGGACGTGGGGCGTGCAAAGAGCGTTTCGGGGGGATGAGGGCTCATGGACGATAGAAAGGAAAGGAGAATCTGTGTTGCTATACATATTATCAAATACATAATATGGTGATTCTGATGTATGGGATGAGATACAAACACAAGTGCTGGGAGCCGTGCTGAAAAAAGGGGTCAGCCAGGTTGGGCGGGTTTGGGAGTTGGGAATTGACGACATTGGACATTGGATGACGGGAATTCATGAAGAGTGGCTACTTCGCAACTTGCCTGATGCAAAGTCTTCTACCATGATTGAAACAACAAACACTTCTTGATTCTTGACTTGGAAGGAGCCTCAAAGTTCTTTCAGTGTTTCAAACCACCACCTGAAACACATCTCTTCGCCACAGGTGTCGCTCGTCGCACAGGTCTGCCCTCCCTCGGCCCCAGCAGGTGCTTCGGTGGCTGCAAGACGGCGAGATTCAGTCCAATCCGGACACGGAAGACAGTGACTGCGGTGATCGTTCGGAAGATTGAGTTGTTGCTGTTCTATTCTCCAAGCCGATGTGGGGAATGATTATATTTATGATATATGAGCACTGGTTGTTGCATTCCTAGTTGAGAATCATCAATGATCCCAATGGATCTCCCCGATCTCGTTGTTTGAGTCATAGTGCAACGCATTTACCAGGTGACGATGAGGACAAGTATGGGCCCAGCATTTACAGTGTCAACGAGCAGTATATCAAGCCCGTGACCGCCGATGCGGGGAAGATGAGTTGGGCTTTGATGATGAACCCGGAGGGCTTAGACTGCGATCTATTTGTCAGTCATGCTTGGCAAGAAGGCGAAGCTGTGGTTTGGGTGGTTGAGGGATGTTGGGGGGTTCAAGACTTTGCTGACATCAAACTAAACAACATTACTGCATGAACATGCAACATGCACATCAAGCTGCCAATGAAGAGACCCTGGATGGACACATGGCAAGGGCACCTGGGTGCCAGGCAACACCATGTGCTTCGGAGAGTTGTTGATGGCTCTCCTTGCTCATGGGGGAGCCGAAGGAAGAAGAGTAAGCCGAAGCAGACCAAAGATGCCAACCTTCACATACGTGCATTTGTTGACAGATGCTCATGTTTGCACGTGCATGTCTTTGACCATATTGTTTCTTTTTTCCCCTGCGGCCACGGACACCGGGTATACGGCCAGTGTAGCAGGACCCGTCGGTCAAGGTGCTGAATTGACCTACGTCGACGATCGTCGACACTCCTCCGGAATCGATGCCCAAAGCTTCGCAGGTCCGGCCACCCAACCAACCAGTCCGGAGACGTCATATTCGACCTGTGTAGGTTGGGTTTCAGTGAGGGGAGAGAGAAGTCATGTGCTCCCTGTCCTTAGTCAACTGAAGCCAAGAAGTGGGTGGCCTTGCGAGCAACCTGCACATTGCTCGACCCAAAGATGTGGCTCAGTGACCTGCCAGACAGTGGTGATGAAGGGAGCTCCCTCCTTTGTCCTGCATAACCTTGAGACACCTCAGTTTTGTGTATGTATATAGTATTTTATAGTTAAATATATGTACGATTGTGAAGGTAAGGGAGACACTAGGTGGCCACTCCCCCCAAGTGTGTGGTCGTCTCTTCTACTGCGCTTTTGACTCGAAACCCTTGCGCTTTTGACTCGATCTCACCTACGAAGCACGTCGGGACTGTGGCGTCCCATCCAGTCTCATCTGGTCCTATCCAGTCCGCAGGCATCTTCGAGTTCTTGTCCAAGGTCTTGGGATCTTGGCCTTTCTGGGTGCGCCATGCCTGGTGCTGCATGCTCGCGAATCCCCAACATCTCAACATCGGCGCCTCAGAGCGGGAAAAACCGTCCGAAGACGTGGAAGACTTCAGAGCCACGAACTTGCCTCCACCAGACTTGCCATGGATGCAGGGATACCAGTGGAAAAGGAGATGCACCCCTCATCACCGGGGAATAGAACCAAAGAATAATTGAATTGCATGTGTTCATGTCGTCATCCGGAATTGCTATAGATGTCGATTCCAATTACTACAGACATACAGTACAACCTAACTTTAGCTTCTTTTCACCAGTCACGACCATGGTCCTCAGAATTTTTTAAATATGTGTTGTTCTTTGGGAGGTCCAAACCCCTATCATCCGGTGCTCCAGTTAGCACAGCACGAGCATGTCTCCCTTCACCTAGCTGCTCCGGTGGACTCCGAAGGTTCCATGCTGCAATCGCCCAAGACTTCGCCCTTCGCCTTGGCCTTGGAAGCTTCACGCTTGGTCACCACGCTGAGATCGATCCGACGTGCAACCGAGCGTTCCGGGGGGATTCGGGGGGGAACGGAGCGTGTTCCGTTTGAGACGGATGCGTTCGGAGTGATCGTGACAGAGACCAAGATTCCAAGTGGGTGGATTCTGTTGGTGGCGCTGTCACAATCGGATGCCAGCAGGGGGGTTCCAAGGGTTTCAGAGCAAAACGGAACTGGCTTTGGGACTTTTTGGTGCATGGGCCGTATCCCATTGGAGAGTGGGTCAACATATGTCAAAACCCAATGCTCAGAATCCTGATGATCAAAACCCAATATGTCAAACCCCGATGATCAAAATATGTCACGGACATTCATGGACCGTATCCTGATTATCAACGGCCACTTCGAAGTGGACAGTCTTACCGGCCAGTCCGACCAGTGATTCTGGTGATAATGCCGCCATGCTAGGTTCTGGTCGTATCCAACCGACGCAAGAGCGTCTACTGCCGGCTGTGGTGCGGTTGCTTGGTGCGGTGGCTGCACAAGCAGCTGGAGACCTCGCGAAAGCTAGTGAAATCCACAAGGGCTTGGAATACTCTCCGAATCCTGTAGATTAGACATCGTGTGGAATGGATTTCTTTGGTTCAAAATGGTTCAAAAAGACCGGAGAAAAGAAGAAAGCTATCAGGGTACAGAGTTTAGGTGCAGTGTCTTGAAAAGTCTAGGGTGAGGATGCAATAGGTGTAGGGTGCAAGATTTCAACAGGATGGATGTGCAGTTTGTATCAACAAGAGGACAACGACATATTCCACTATATAGATATGTTGGTGTAAATATGCTTTCTAAACTCAGTCTAAGTGCAAAAAGCTTTGTGGTTTGAGACCGCTTTGATGTTGTTCGGTCTTGTCATGTCTTGTTCTTCTCTTCCCCAACTTATATATATAATATTATAGTATATATACCTATATTTATGTTGACTGGTTGTCGTTTACTGTTTTTCTTTTTCTGATCTCAGATCGGCGGAAAGCTGTCGGAGCCGTTCATGTCAAACACCGGCAGAGCTGTCCTGGTGCGTTGGCCTTTTTTGCTGTTCACCAAGGGGTGTGAGTTGGTCTCAGCTGTCCTTTCAGGACCCAGCTTCACCTCCGAAGTGGGTACCCACCCGAATCGTGAGTCGTTTACTGATGGAGAAGAAACAGAAGAGACCTGGGAAGTTGACGGAATCGGATCTTACATGATATATCAATATAAGTATATAAGAATAATGTAAATTCGAGCGGACCCCCGCACGGCCCCCTTCTCCAAGCCAAATTAGGGCCAAATTGGTGAGAACCTGTATCCTGGGGCCCCTAAATTAGGCTATTTGTTAGTTTTTCTCCAATTGCTTGAAGCCGCTCAACTACATTCATCTCTAATAAGGAGTGCTTGACTTTGATATCCCACAGCGCGTGTTTCACCGACTTTTCTTAAATTGGATGAATACGGGGGGAGCAGGGGAGCACGGCAGAATCAGCTCGAACTTTCATGATATAATATTAGATGAATGGTTCAACATCTCTCTTCTATCAGCCAAGACATCAACTTGGATTTTCAAACAGCATGATCCTCAAGACTGCTACTACTGCTACTGGCATTCCTTTTTGCTGAAGCATGATGTGTTTCAACTGCTTGGGGTCCATCACCTCAAGACTAAGGTGCACCGGTCACCCTGGGATGCCCACTGTCCTCTCCACGCTTCATGGGCGTGTCCTCTCCGGTCCTGCTCTCGGAGGCTACGAGGCTTATGTGGCCTCGGAGAAGTCCAAGGTGATCCAGATAGCCAAGCCGCTGCAGCAGCTCGGTGGTTCCTGTTGGCTCCGT